ACCCCATCAACCTTCAGAACACTGTCGACCCCAACGACCCCATTGACCTCAACATTCAGAAATATGGGTATGTCATTTGGCATTTTATTCATTTTGTATTTAGTTATACATGTAGACAGGATAGCACTTCTTAGTATTCGTTATAGTTGTGCTCTGCACACAAAGTACAAATGTACTGGATTAATGTACGTTTGTGTAGGACATAGCTGCTAACGGATGCTAGTATCTTTTTCCTGATTATATTGAGAAACTGCATTGTGATCACTTACAAAACTATTCAACAACAACAAATCATGAAATACTGCTTATAGCAGTATTTTTTTGGAAACAAAACAGTTGAAGCCCCTCGAGCTTTCTCAAGTATTGGGAGCTTACATAAATACAAAAAAAGGTATTGGGAGCTTCACATTTCACTTCAATGTTATAATGATGTGAAAGAAAATGCCACTCTTCTTCAAACATTTGTCCTAAAAATTAGAAAGAATACAAACTTACTAACTAAGGGTTTTGTGTTGTATGCAGAAAACGCAAATTTTGTATTCTTTCATCCATATTCTACTTCAAACACATTTGTTAGGGCAATATTCTATTTGCAGAAGTGTCCGGGTGTTAATGACATCTTTTACATCATACCATTTAAATGAGATTGTGCCATCTATTCTTTGGCTAATTTTGGGATCCAACACTTAAGAGGGGCTTTAAACTGTTATCAATCAAGCATCTCAACACTGAGCAAACAGATACTATAAATTGGTTCTTTCTATTGAAGAATATTACTGCCATTTTACCTCAAATGTATATTTCCTTTGTTAAGAAGAGTGTTTGATGCTATTCTAATTAAACAAGACAAAAATAAAAGAAATCCATTCCTTTCTAATTTCCATACGTCTGGGTCATTCGCTCTAAAGTTTGAACGAAGTTATTTTCATGACAAAGTACTTCTATCCATGAAATTTCATCAAAACTAGGGAGGATGTGCCACTCAGGACTACTTCCCTTGAATGCCGTACTATTTGATTAATATCCGTACTATTTCAAGGTGATGTTTCCATGATCTGCTTTTAAATCTTGTTTGGTTTCTTTCTTCTTCTTTCTTTTGCCGCAGATGTCGAAGTTGTACCACCACAAGCTAGACAAGATTTTGATTCCGACCAACCCATTCTTTAAAGGTCCATTGCCTTAGGAAATTAAAACTTTTATGTCTTGTATCAAGACCCTTTTAAAGCAACATAATAACAATTGTTTCATAAATAAATGCCTCCTGATATTTTTTACAATTTTTTGAAAACCTCTCCAAGTTGCTCGTCTAATGGTGGACCCCGCCCCTTACAATTCTCAGAGTTCCTCGGAATGATTGACCAAAGGATTAGTGATGTTATATCGAGAACGATCTCCGCTTAGGCAAGCTACGGTGCTTGCTAGCCAGTTCTGCAGGCATTATGTTTTGTACACAAACATAAACAATAACTTTTGTTATTAAATAGTGTGCTATGCATCTTTACTTGTTATTTATTGTGGTGAAATTTCACTAATGGCCCAATTTTAAAAAGAGAGCTATACCATGAGTCGAAGAAGGTCGTAACTGATTTGAATGCCTGTATAACGTGTCAACTAAATGCATGCTATAAAGAATTTCAAAGGTAAGAAAAAAATGTTTCATATATCTAAGTGACTGAATGTTTTTCGTACTACCTTCTTCTCAATTTAAAGAAATATTGAAAGTGGTATATCAGAGTGAAGAAACTTGTGTTTTTCCCTTTACAAGCTCTGCTCTTTCTTACTTCACTTTCAAATTTCCTCTCTTGTTATATAAACATTTAGCGATTGCTTTACTTCACACATTCAAGCAATGTATACTATCCCTCCTAAAAAAACAGTTTGTAGATGTGTTAACAATAGATATGGCGACGAAATGTTTCAGCATCTCTGAAATGCCTAAGCATAAAAAATGTTGGCAATTTCTCTGAATTTTATTTGTTATTTTTTATGGAACATTGTTTACATTAATTGCCTAGTTCTTGGTATGCAAATGGTGGACACTTTATTAATTTCTTTATATTTTTGTGCTGTACATATGTAGAGGAATCTTGTCATAAGCAATCGTGTTCGTCTGCCAGAAAGTTTGTTTTGTTTTACTCGGGAAGTTGTGATGATTGTTTATTATATTCGTACAATGAATTTCAGTATGTTATGTTGTGTTAAGTGTAAGCGACAATTCATGTTATAACAGCTCCCATCGTCCTAGCATTCATTGATAGTAGGCCTATATTGTGACACATTGAGATACCTTGAACTTGAAACTATGTTTACATCTTTTTCGAATTCAAACGAAAATACAAAAGAAAGATGTACAATAATTGTATTCACATTTACAACAGTTTGTTAATTACACATAAAATAAAGTATGTTTTATCACAAAATCAGTTTATTTTCCTTGTTCTTTTGTTTTGGAGGGAGGGGGATGTATTCAGAGCAAATTCTAAGAAGCAAGATGGTGAACTTTTCATTAAAAAGGGACAAATAAGTTGTTATCATGTTTTGATATTGATTAAAATGTACAAGATAATAGACATGACGAAATTAAAATAACATGTCCCTCTTGCTTCAATATTGTTATTATACATATCTTCCAGAGGGATCTAAGTCGAGTTCTATAATGAACTTTTCTCAAATTCAGTCTAATTTTGATGAAATTGTTACTATCTTCATTTTGTGGATTTTGCTCTGTTTATTTATTTAATCCAATCTTAAACTACTTGGCTTTTCCTTGTCACGTTGTGATGCATGTGTTTGAATGATTGTACATGTCCGATGTAGTATGATCTTGACGATGTTCTTATGAACGGACGACTGATGTTGGTGTGAATATGTTTTTGAGTTGGTGTTGGTAATGTCAGAAGGATGTTGGCATGAACTGGAAAGGGGAGGTACAACGTCGGCACATGGTGGGATACGGGTTGGCATAACGTTGGTTCTACGTCGGCAAATGGTGGAGAAGAGGTTGGCATAACGTTGGTCTAGCATTGGCACATGGTGGAGGAGGGGTCGGCACTTGGTGGGGAAAGGGTCGGCATTATGTTAGGACAACGTCGGGGAGACGTCGGCACATAGTGTAAAAGGGGTTGGCATTACGTTGGTCCTACGTCAGGGAGACGTCGGCACATGGTGGAAAAGGGGTTGGCATTACGTTTGTCCTATGTCGGCATATGGTGGGATAGGGGTTGACATGACGTTGGTCATACGTCGGGGGGACGTTGGCCCGATGTTGGCTTAATGTCATTTCGTTGCTGTCGAGCCAACGTTGGCCCGCCGGCAAGAAAGCCGTTGGCCCAACATTACATTGGCGACGATGGCGCAACGTAACAGCCCACGACGTCGGCACATGGTGGGATAGGGGTTGGCATAACGTTGGTCCAATGTCGGAACTACGTCGGCACATGGTGGGATAGGGGTTGGAATAACGTTGGCCCTACGTCGTGGAGACGTCGGCACATGGTTCAAAAGGGGTTGGTATAACGTTGGGCCAATGTCGAGGAGACGTCGGCACATGGTGGGATAAGGGTTGGCATAACGTTTATCCAATGTCGGAACAACGTCGGCACATGGTGGGATAGGGGTTGGCATAACGTTGGTCGTACGTTGGCACATGGTAAAAAAGGGTTGGGATGACGTTGGTCCAATGTCGGAAAGACGTCGGCATACGGTGGAAAAGAGGGTGGCATAACATTGGTTTAATGTCGGGAGGACATCGGCACATATGGTCGGATAGGGGTCGGCATAACGTTGGCCCGATGTTGGCTTAATGTCATTTTGTCTCTGTCGGGCCAACGTTGGCCCGCCGGCAAGAAAGCCGTGGGCCCAACATCATGTTGGCGACGTTGGACCAACGTAACAGCTTACGTTGGCCCCACGTTGGCGTAACGTCGTATTGTTATCTGGGCAGCAGTCAATGTAATCTGGTGGGGTAGCACTACCCCAGATTCGTTTCTCTCGTTAAAACTTTGTAATCTGGTGGGGTAGCAATACCCCAGTTTCGTTTCTCTCGTTAAAACTTTGAGAGAGCTACTACTATTACACAGGCACCAATGGGAATCTGATGGGGTCTCACTACCCCACTTTCAATTCTCTCGTTAAAAACTTGGACAGAGCCTTGAGGCTCTGAGTGAGAGATTAAGATATTGGATTGCAGCTGGACTCTACATCATCTTACGTAATACTAGTGTAAACAAACTCTTACTGGGGTCTGCCTGAAAGGAAATGAGAAGTAGGAAATAAGCATTTTACTTGTTTTAAGATATTTTCATGTCCTAAAGTCACTAATAATTTAGATGAAGACCAAAATGAAAGTTCGAACGAAGCAAAATGACCCATAATTGGCGATATAACAACTATAACTTCCTTTCCCCTTGTATCATGCTTATCTCTCTCTCGCTATCACCTCATCAAGGTCTCGGTGGGGGTGGATTACAGCGCTAGTGTTTACTTAGGGCTTATCACAATCTCAGCTCTAGTACAAGTAGAAATGGTGAAAGTCAAATGGGGGTTTCAATTTTAAACGACGAGTTTTCGTCATGCATATCTCAGTGACACAATGTATGTCAGTAAAAACAGAAAATTCTTGATAACTGATAACTATGGACAAATTATTTATGGATGGAAAGATTTTCTCTTGAAAAACATGAATAATTTGCTGAAAAATCATAAAGATATCATGGAAAGGCGTTTAAAAATGCAATTTTGTTGCTAGCTATCTCGCTTTTGACGTCACGAATCTTGACGCTCTACGGAGGACCGCTGAAGGCAGAAAATCTGGATCTCAAAATTAACATTTCTGAGAGATGATACTGCAGGCCCCAAAACAAATTTTGAAGAGGGAAGTTGTTATAATTGATCAGTAAGGCTTCCCGCAATGATATGAATTTTGCATCAATTCAAAACACTTTTGATTCTTCGGGTGACTACTTTAACAATCCTTCATGAATGTCCTTGTCTTACGTTAGATACGGAAGCAGCGTATTCCAGTTTTCTGATCTGATTGAATCGGTGACGGCGAATTTCAATAGAGAGTTTCAGCTCCAAGAGGTACGTGATACAGCAAAACCTGTTTATAAAGACCACTTAAGGAAGACAAGAAGGTGGTCTTTATGTACAGGTAGTTGCTTTAAGCGGGTGTGGCCGTATATGAAGTCAGTTTGAATACTAATCTAACAAGCTGGATTTAAATAGCACGTAATACGAAATACCTTCTCCATAAGTGCTCTTCAGATATTATCACCCCAGTCATCGGCTTCATTCACGCACAATGTGCACCATCTCCTCTCCCTGGGGAGTACTCTTACCATATGGTCACCACGACCTTTGCAGTTCAAGTCAAGTGCTTAAACCACTCTACTATGACACCTCTAATATTATATTAGTAAGGGTATAAGCTGATTGACATATTCTAGTGTTAGCATGACTAATTAGATATTTTCAAAATGCTTAAAAGGAAGTCATCCAGTACTATTTGTTAACGTTATTCTCCACTCAGAGGCTAACCCTCAGCCTCTTTAATAAAGACAGATGTCTTTTTCTATACAGGTGGTCTTTCTATGCAGGTGTTAGTTTTATACAGGCCTGATTGTCCATTGTTATAATTATATTGTACCTTATGTGTGTCCTCACTAAACAGCTCCTGGACTTCATCGAGACCCATCCAGACCAAGGGACAGGTTCTAGAGCGTTTGCCCAAGCTGTGGACCAGACCAGGGCTAACATCAGATGGATGGAGGACTACGAAGAAGAGGTCATGGAATGGTTGGAGTGGGCTGTTACTGCCTAACTCTATGGGCCATCACAGCCTAACCCTGAGGGCTGTGATAGCCTAACTCTAAAGGCCATCATAGCCTAACTCTAAGGGTCATCACAGCCTAACTCTAAGGGTCATCACAGCATAACTCCAAAGGCTATCACAGTTTGATTCTATGGGCTGTCACAGCCTAACTCTAAGGGCTGTCATAGCCTAACTCTATGGGCCATCGCAGCCTAACCCTGAGGGCTGTGTCAGCCTAACTCATAGGCTGTCACAGCCCTTAGGATGAACTTACCCGCTATCTACAAAGGAAAAAACAAACATTGACATTCCTAGTCCAAACACATTATTCTACATTCAAATTATTTATTGAGTTTGCTGCCAACAGTTAAAAATTATCTCTTGTGCACTAAATATTGTGCAACTCATATGTATATTTTAATTGGCACTACAGCCACACACAAAATGTTATGAAGCAAAGTTAAATAACCAACCCCAAAATGACTTGTGTGTTTTATAATTATAAAATATATTGATGCGTGTGTACCGGTATTTATTTTCATTCATCTTATTCTGACAAAAATGATTACATTGGTATTTAATAGTAAATCCTTTAATTACCATATGCAATGATATGTGACTTAAAATTGAAATATATGCAAATGATCTTGGCGATGAATATTCAAATTTTATGAAGGATATAAGAATTGTTTGACTTATTGTTTAATAGGACACTGCTGCTTTGATGTATAGAACAATGTGTATATAATTATAAAAGCATGTTTTCTGCCAAACTTTGAAAGAGGTGCATTTGATTAAACCATGTATATGATCACAGAGGTTTATACACTTTGCCATTTAAAGTGGTTTGTTTATATCATACTTTTACAGCTCATAACTAATTCTTTCGTCTCATCTGGAATTACTTTTAAAGTGAGTTGCAGCTGTCATTACATGTATTTTTAGGGGACTTGTTGGATTCAGGAGCAAAATCGATGCAAGTCGTTATATAAAAGGTCTTGATGATCTTCACTCAAAAACGGACAATCATAAACTAATTATTCCGGAATCCAGACTCTCGTCTACCAAAAAACATTTTACAGTGGCTGCTTCAAAAACGTGGAACAATATGCCACTTTCCATCAGAGAATTAGGCTTGCCACTTTCAAAAGATTCCTTAAAACATACTTCTTCCCTCAGTATGTGATTAATCTATTTTATGAGTCTATGTATTTTTATGTTTTTCTTCACAATCTGTGATTTTGTAGGTGCTATGATACTTTTTTTAGCACTCTTGAATAATCATTGTTTTTAATATTTTTTATTGAATAATCAGTATTATAATTATTAAGTTATCAATATTATTATTATTGATATGCTGGTTTGTATTACAACTCATTAACTAAGTCAGTGATATCTTATTATTGTTCAGAGGTGGTTCAGGTATTCTGAAAACTATGTAATCTTATCTTTTATGTTACTTATACTAACTGTCGCGTGTAGTATAAGCTTCTACCTACCTTAAAATGTTGTAGGCAGCTTTCCTCCACATTTGTGGACTTTCTCATGCCAAGTTATTATTAGTTTCTTGTTGTTGGATTTTTTGAGATCACAATGAATAGCCAGTCCCTATTCAGATGGATTCTTTCACCTGTCTCGACATCTTTGCCATTTAAATAATACTTTTTGAGATGACTATTATGTGACTGGCTGGGCTTGAGATCATTGGAGCGAAGAAAAGTTACAATGAATAGTCAGACTCCCTATTCAGATGGATTCTTTTGCCTTTCTCGACATAATTGTCATTTTGAAAATACTGTTTTGGATAAGTTATGTCACTGGCTGTCAAAGCTCAGAAAGACAAACCGTACCAGATCCTGCTAGCACATATATCATGTGTGTGTTTATTATGCACTATTTCAGTTTGGCATGGCAGTATTTGTACCTCTCGCTTATCCGTATGAAAGAAAACATAGTTTTCAGAATACAAACCCTATTATCCATGATGATATTCAAATTGTATATTTAACACTATTTTTCTTGTTTGTTATTGCAATGGATGCTATAGAGATAGATATATAGAAATTTATATAAACATATATAATGTATACAGTTTAATTTTCAAATGTCTTTTGTAAGCAGGTGCGCCATTCCCCAACACCATAGACCTTTACATGTACTTTGCCTATGGTGCTAATTGAGTAAAGATTATATTTGTGAACATGTTATCGTCGTCCGCATTATGGTACAAGTACTTTGTGTGTAAAGTACATTCACCTACGCATATTCTGCTGTTGTATGCTGTATATATATATGCAGCCTTATTTGTTTGTAAGATTAACAAGAGGGTCATTCTGACATAGCAATATTCTGTAATCACTTTGTAAATAAAAAGCTAAATGAGAATATATAATCTTTTATTACAATTTCATCAGTCATACCCAATATTGTTCTACCACTACCTCTAATGGAAACTTACTAAATCCCAAATCCAAATCCAAGCTTGCTTTTATAAGGTGCAGTCTTATCAGAGGTTATTTGGAGCTGTAAATGTAATTGACTGGGGCATGCAGCGACTATATGCCTCTACCTGAGTTTATTCAGACCAGTGAGCAAATATTTAGACAACAATGCTAATACAGTACCTTTGTGACGGAATAACTGACCATTGTATCTGTAATACTAGATTGCATGGTGGTAGGATATTTAGTATGTCACTGAATATCTTGTTATATCATCAGATACCCAACTTGGATTATATATAGGCTTAGTGGTACATGTAGGCTAGCTATTTCAAGCCTTAAAGGCACACTGCCATACTTGTAGCTACTTGCTCCCTCTATATAGAAAACTTCCCTAATCGGTGCCTGTTGGTCCCCCATGATCCTCTTTTTCTTATGTTAAATGAGAGCTGAGTTAATGAGATAGCCACCTGTCACAGTGACCTCGATGGCTAGCGTATCGATTTGGTTCTGAACCTGGGACCTACCCGTAACTAGACGATGCTCTACCACTGAGCCATGGCGCCTCCTCATAGAAGGTATACCGGTATATAAGATATAACAAACTGATAAAGGTTGTATGCTTTATTAGAAACCCCTCGCATGATGTACCTTGTTTTGCCGCAGCTTAAAGGAACAATAGGCTTAAGGGGGAGGGAAGAAACACAGAAACAATAGTTGCTTGGAGAATAGCAAATGCTTTTTAGTTATTTTACTGGTAGCTTTTACATGTATGTATCTAAATAGTTTGTATTTTATTGATATCAGAGAACTTCGGTTACAACATTTTTAATGTAATGTTTCATCAGAAATCATTCCAATCGCTCAAATTGCCTCTAATTTTTGCCATGAATCAAGTGCCTTTGTACCATATTAATTATGAATCATGTATGTACATTGAGGAAATTATATTTTGATTATGATAAAACCATGTGTATTATTTTCTTTTGTGGTGTGCTTTACTTGTGAAGATTTATTATATTTGATTACTTGTATTTTTTTTAAAGACCATGTCGGAAGTGAAAAATTAAATATAGATTACTTATGCATTTATATCAACAGAAAGCTAGCTTGTAAGTCATGGATTTCAAAACTATCAATCATATCTATTTTAGTGTCCGTCAGAGGATAAATATCTCTCTGAAAACTTGAAGTCTTAAGCTTGATATCATTTTGTATGGAGCAAGCATATTCATAATTACTTTGCATGAATTAAGCACAGCTCATCACCTCGGCTATAGGCGAGACGATCAGGTCAGGTGTGGAAAATAAGGTTTTAAATTGCTTTTGAAAGGGAAAATATTTTTTTATATTTGTATTCTATATTCATTCAGCTTTCCATTTATTATATTTTGGTAATGGTTCTACTGTAGAAGTCATGATACGGAGGCTTGGAGGTTAATGTTTACAGGTGTCTTTATTAGAACCAAACTGCGTCATGATTCAATCTCATGAGCCATGTTGAGAACCGTAGTCTATTGTCAAGACTTACATAATATCAGCACATCTCCCTTTCTAAGAAGGGTTACATTCTTTTTCCACAGAAATAACATAACACATTATTTTTAACACTTACTTTTGAACACATCGCTGGATATTAATTTTGGTTTCAATATGTTTTCCAAATCTGGAAACAATGCATATATGGCGAGCGTTGGGTTTGTTTTGATCTGTTTCAAATACTTTTCAAGAAATAAATGATTTTGTGAGTTGTTTCTTTGACCATGCATTCAGAATATTTTGCAACATTTCTTTTGTATGTTATTTCTTTCCAATAACTTTTCAATCCAGTGATTAACACACTTAAGCTTTAACTTGAGCTTGAACATAACTTAACGATATCCAATCTTGATATCTTCCAAGTATCTGTGGATATAACAAAAAACATATATACAGTTAATGTTAAAACATTCATAACAATATAATATAATGTCCTTTTAAAGGCAAAGTGTAACTTTCACTTTCAGTTCTTCTTGATATTATCAGCTTTTGTTAATATAGTCCTTTTGCTTTTCATTGTTCATAGTTCAATTTGTTTTTGTGATTATTTCACAAGTCCATTCGATTTGGCGGTTTGCTTATTCGTCCACTTCTGGTGGTCATGTAGGATGATGCTTGCTGGGCTGGTACGCCGGAACGCTCAGGGGTTGGTTCGCTAACATCCTCGTCATCTGGATCGCTGTCCGTCTGTGTTGTCTGTTGGAACCGATCATCCCTTCGTGTGGGTGCCGGTCTGAGATGACGTCGGTTTCTTCGTCTAATCTCTCCATACTCTGTCTCTACCAAATATGATCTGTTTGGCAGTTTGACTTTGACGATGCCACTTTGTGACCATCGATTGTTGTGCATGTTTTGAAGTCTTACAGTCTGACCTATGTTTAGTTCTGGTAGGTCTCGAGCATGTTTATCATATCGCTCTTTCTGCTTTACCTTCTGCCCTTCCTTCCTTTCCCTCACCTGTTGAGGATTGATGTGTTGTGGATCAAGAAGTTTGTCCACCATGGGCAGGTTTGATCTCAATCGCCTGTTGTACAGGAGTTCAGCTGGCGATTTTCCACATTCTAGTGGTGAGCTTCTGTAGACTTGTAGTGCCCTGTAGACATCTTGTCTACTGTCTTGGCATTTGCGGATGAGATTCTTCACAATTTTCACTGCATTCTCTGCTAGTCCGTTCGACTGAGGATGATACGGACTTGTTGTTGTGTGGCAGAAGTCCCAATCTTGTGCAAAGTTTTTGAACTCTTTACTAGCTAATTGCGGACCATTATCCGTCACGAGTTCACTTGGTGTGCCTTGTCTTGAAAAGACTTCTTTCATTTTTGTTATCACTGTTTTACTTGTTGTTGTTGACAGTGGACAGACTTCAATGAATTGTGAATAGTAATCTACTATTACCATGTAATCTTTGTTATTCAGTGTGAACAAGTCTGCAGCGATCTTTTCCCACGGTCTGTTTGGTACCGTGTGTGGTTTCAGACTTTCTGTCTGTTGTTTTGGTTTATACATCAAGCATGAGTTACAATTTTGTACCATTTCTGTTATGTCTTGATTTATTCTGGGCCAATACAAGACTTCTCTTGCACGTCTCTTGCATTTTTCTATGCCCAAATGTCCTTCATGGATCTTATCCAACATCTGTTTTTTCATTGTGCTTGGTACAACGATCCTGCTGCCTTTCATGATTAAGCCTTCGGCTTCTGACAGCTCATTTCTAATGTTCCAGTATGCTCTAATTGCTACTGGACATTGTTGTTTTGTTTCAGGCCATCCATCTTTGATGATGCCTATCAATTCTTGTAGTGTTTTGTCTTTCTGTGTTTCATCTACAAACTGACTTTTTCTGTTTGATGTGACTGGTAATGTCTCCATTATTGTGTCTACATAGATTCTGATGTCTTCTTCTCTTTCGACCTGCATGTCTGCCTGTGGATCTACCGCTCTAGACAATGCATCTGCGGTGTACATGTATTTTCCTGGTGTGTAGGATACTTTCAAATCGTATCTCTGCACTCGGATTAGTAGGCGTTGAATGCGAAGAGGACAATCACAGAGTGATTTTTTGAACAATGGTACAAGAGGTTTATGATCTGTTTCGACTTCTACCTGTCGTCCATGTATGTATTGGTGAAATCTTTCACATGCAGACGTCATCGCTAGCAGTTCTTTTTCTATCTGCGCGTAGCGAGTTTCTGCATCAGTCATTGCTCTCGATGCATAAGCAATGGGGAACCAATTCTGGTCATGTTGTTGCAGTAGCACTGCACCTAGTCCATTCTTGGATGCATCAGCTGATAGCTTCGTCGGCTTTGTGCTGTCATAGAAATGGAGCACTGGTTCTTGTGTCAGAGCTTCCTTGAGTTGACACCAAGCTTTTTCTTGTGCATCTTGCCACATCCACTCATTTCTTTTCTCAAGAAGACTTCTCAGCGGGGCTGACTTTGTGGATAAATCTGGTATGAACTTTCCTTGGTAGTTAACCATACCTAAGAACCTTTGAACATCTTGCTTGTTCTGTGGTCTTTCCATGTTCAATATGGCTGCAACCTTCTTTGGATCTGGTTGAACACCTTGTTCACTGATCACATCGCCAATGAATGTCATTTGGCTCACATTGAACTCACATTTGTCTCTGTTGAGTTTCAGATTTGCTTTCTGAGCTATGTCAAGGACCTGTTTCAGTCTGGTGTCATGTTCCTGTTGGGTTGACCCCCATACTACTATGTCATCCATCATTGTGTTGACACCAGGTATGTGTGCGAACAAATTATGCACAACCTTGTGGAACACTTCTGGCGCACTGCAGACCCCAAATGGTAACCTGAGAAATCTGTATCTCCCAAATGGCGTTATGAAAGTACATAGCCTTGAGCTTTCCTCATCTAACTCTATCTGCCAGAAACCTGAGGACGCATCTAATTTGCTGAAGTACTTAGCTCCTGCAAACTGTGCTGTTATTTCCTCTCTTGATGGTAGCTGGTAGTGCTCTCTTTTTATGGACCTATTTAGATCTCTTGGATCGAGACATACTCGAAGCTGATTGTTTTTCTTCATCACCACCACGAGCGACGACACCCAATCACTTGGTTCATCCACTGGTGTGATAACTTTAAGTCGTTCCATTTTATCTAGCTCATCCTTGAGCTGATTTCGCAGTGGAAATGGAATTTTTCGACATGCATGTTGTACAGGTTGAGCATTTTCTTTTAGCGTGATATGATGCTTTCCAGGAACACATCCTAACCCTTCAAACACGTCTTCATAGTCATCTACTATTACATTCTTTGATTCTGTTTTGACATTCAAGACTCTCTTTACAAGCTTCAATTGCTCACATGCTTGTAAGCCTAACAATGGTTGACGATCACCAGGAGTTACTAGAACAGCCATATTGTGAGTTAAACCTTTGTACTCCACTTGTACATAACAACGACCCTTTACTGGAATTACTACTCCACTGTAGCCTGTCAATCTCACTCTAGCTGGATGCAGCTTTGGCCTGGGAATCAAACTCTGATACACTGATTCTGGAAGGAGGTTTGTCTGAGCACCAGTATCTAACTTGAAAATAACCGGCCTACTATTGACAACTAGCTTGACCTTCCACTCATCACGAGACTCTAATGTTTCTACAACATCAACCATGAACTCATCTTCGACCTCGAGATTTTGCATCTCGTTGATAACTTTACTCATTGGAGTTTTACAACACTTCGCAAAATGATTTCCAAGACCACACTTTTTGCAAATTTGACCTTGAGCAGGGCATGCATTTTGACCATGCCAGTTTCCACAACGACCGCAACTATTTCTAGATTTCTGACCTTGAGTCTGATTTTGACTTCGATATGGCCTTTGAGTTTGTTGTTGACCTAGACTTTGCCTTGGATTTTGTCTTTGATTACCGTGAAACAACTTTCTCCTACTCCCAAGAGCATCAACCGAGACTTCATCCGTGGAACTCAGCTCTTTTGCCTGAGCTCGAGTAGTTTCAGCAGAACGACACAACTGTAACGTCTTATCCAGCGTCAAATCATCTTGCCTCAATAGGCGTTCCCTGACCATGGAGTTCACAATTCCACAGATAATTCTATCACGAATGAGGCTATCCTTTAAGTCACCAAAATCACAAGACTTAGCTCTATTGCGCAATTCAGTTGCATACTGATCTGTTGTTTCATTTTTGTGTTGTGACCGTGTGAAAAATTTGTGTCTCTCAAATGTTACATTACGTTTTGGCATGCAATAGTTCTCAAATTTCTTTAGCACTTTCTCTAATTTCATCTCATCTCCGGTATCTTCCTCAAACTGGAATGTATTGTAAATGTCAAGAGCTTCTTCCCCTATGACATGTAGGAGCATGGATGTTTGTGCTTTTTCTTCTGTCTTTGACATTCCACTGGCCACATTATACAATTCAAATCTTTGTTTGAAACGTTTCCAATTTTCTGCTAAGTTTCCTGTCAGCTCCAATGGCTGTGGTTGACTTAGATTTGTTGCCATGGTTTCTTATTTGTTTCTCTCTGAACAATGCTTTAACCTCTTATTTACTATTGTGGTATCTTTACAACCTAGTCAAACTAACGAGACAAGCAATTTCACCGAGTTAAAATATGCCGACGCATGTACGCACTCATAGCCACATACACACAGTTTGCACACACGGGACTGAGCCCTTCAATCTGGCGTAAAAATGGAAATCCTGCACCTGTTTATTCCTGGGTTCTATCCTCCCTCGAAGTCAACATCTGTCCTTGATCGGGAAGACCTGACACCATATTATATTTTGGTAATGGTTCTACTGTAGAAGTCATGATACGGAGGCTTGGAGGTTAATGTTTACAGGTGTCTTTATTAGAACCAAACTGCGTCATGATTCAATCTCATGAGCCATGTTGAGAACCGTAGTCTATTGTCAAGACTTACATAATATCAGCACACCATTGATATTGTGACGCGGGACGCAAAACACCTTCTCAACAAATGAGTCTCAATAGAAATTGCTGCCACCACATGGTGATATAGGGACATGACCCCTGGGTCAACTGAGGTTTCTCCAGTTGATCCCAATCTAAATGGAAAACTACGTCACAATATGAATTGTCTTTCCTTGTGACGTAACAATACGAGACTGCAAGAGAGTTGGGGGAAAGGATTGCCGCTGATTGGCTAAAAGTAATGCGTGTCTATGCGCCCATGTTACAAATTAGGAGCCATTCGTCTTAGTGTGCTCAAGAAATCCCAACAGAATTCACCAAGATGTTCCTCATGATGCATTCAGCTTCTTGTAGATTTAAAAGGAACAAGTCAAGAAATACTGGTAAATATTCTGTACTCTGATACTCTGTCTAATTGTTTATTCTGAATCATCTCTCTTCCATCATAGGCTTGTCGCTACTCATTCACACACCATTAGCACACGTGTATGATCAGTATTGCACGATAACCATAGTCATACAGAACTTAGGCATTTTTCTCGCACATGCATACTGTGGCGGCCGCGCCCCCCGCCTCCGTCTCCAACCTCGACCTCTACGTCGGGATTATTCTCTTTCCCAGCTGGGGAAACTGATTCTTTATATCTGTCAGGATATTCGTCAGCCGACATTATTTATAATGTCCGAGCGGTTAGAGTAATTAGATCTTATCTTTTATTTGAGGAAAGACGGGGGAAGCTACAATACTTATTTACGTTCGTTTCGTCGAAATATACGACTATGAAGGAGTACCATGCAGTCAAGAAGAAAGACAAAGTGTTTATAGACTCATAATTTCAGTTTCAAGACAAAAGAAAATGGTCAACTTTTATTAGGCTAATGCATGTACTTCAAATATTTACATCTTTATATCACCACTGTCACAAATACCTTGTGCTCATAGTTATACTTTAAAAATTTATACGATTGTCGTTATTATATTCGAATACATGTAAAAAGTGAAAGGCAATGATTCATTGGGATTTATGGGACTTGGGAGTTTTCCGTCTTAGTTTAATTCCATAGCATCATAGGGGGAGAGGTGGACTTAGAATATTCCTGCATCTTAATAATAGTGGTTCATTCCAGCATCTTAATTCCAGCGTAGACTTCCTTGTGTATACCTTTATATTCCAGGGAGGGAGAGAGAGATCTTATGTGTGGTACCAGTTCCGACGAGCGTCCAATTCCAAGACAAGTCCTTAGGTGGGGGGGGGGGGGGGATTTCCAGGGAGAGACTAAATAGTTCTGATTCCGACGAGCGTCTAATTCCCTCTCCTCGCGTTTTAGAAATGTTACGGGTTATAAAGGCATAATGCGGACGTGGGGGAAATCGATGCGCTAAGCGATCTTGGAAAGTACGCGCGCAGCGAAAATGGATTTAACATGAAGACTGTGCTAGTTCAGAGCAAAATATCTAAGTAAATTTCTTATTTTACCATTAATTAAATACAACACTCTGAATGACATATCATTTGCAGTAAATATTAACAAGTCACATTGTCTAAACAACTTTACTTCCAAATTCATGTGATATATTGATAAACAATTACAGTTTAACATCTTAAAGCATCTCAATAATGGATCCAAATGTCAATCGCTCGTATGCAAATTAATTGCAAAAATATGCAACGTAAACATTGTGCGTCGGTGTATGATGACGCGCTTGAAAACAACAATCATTTAAGTTAGGCCTCTTTGTTACGTCACGACCGCGGAGCGGATCGTTACAATACGTTCGCTCCACACTACTCAGGGATAGGTACCACAGAGTACTCACTTAGCCTCTCGCTGCATAGTCTCGCATTTCCTTACTCTCTGTCTCTCAAGCTTATCCGAGCTGGAATCAATATGGCGTACTAGGGCCGTTTGCATCAAGCAAACTGTAGGCTAAATAAATCAATCTAAACTCATCATCTTCTCTCTCTCTCTCACTTGACAATTGTAGTTACCTCTCCATCAACATCTTCTTTATCAATCAGGTCTACAATTATTGGTCAGGCAATTGCTTCAATGAATAATTCAAGAATAGGGTCTACTTTGTAATAACGTTTAACTTGAACTTTAATAATGTATAACTATAAAACATTAACTGGTGGAATGAATTCCGCAACGATGGTAAAGATTCAACTTATGTACAACTGCAGTATTTACGATTGCTTACACATGTTATAAGCGTGAAATAGTCTAGGTTACATGGTATCGTAATCCACTTGTAGTACAAATATTTATAAGTTATTTAAATTACGTTCCAACGTTTCTGTCTTTATTCAATCCTAGTTCCCAAGTCAGTGTTAACTCTTCTTTTCATACTCATTATCCCCTTGGCCTAAACCGTGTTGTTGCAACCAGCGCATAAACACATCCTTTCGTATATCATAAAACCTCGCTTCTCAACTTGCCAACACCATTTCTCCCCTCCTGGGCATACCTGAACCAAACTTTCCCATCTTAAAACGTAGTCACTACCTTCTAGTCAGTGCTACTTTCAGAAACCGACGCTTAATAGAAACTGGCCTCAGAGATTCTATCTCCCAGAACTATGTCTAAAGATATCTTAACGAGGGAACAACTCTCTTGTTTAATCTGAACCATAACTTCTCTGAGTTTAACTCTAAATTCACATATATATAAAATGTAATTACTAAATCAATGCATGGCGGTGAACTAGCAGGAAGAAAGGGGGGGGGGGTGGTGATGGTCAACTTCCAAGTCCTCTAATCTTGGTTCTAGTACCTCACTGACTGATCATCAAAACTGAAGGCAGTCTGAAAACATGTTCATCTAAACTGATCATCAAAACTGAAGGCGGTCCGATAACATGTTCATCTAAACAGAAATGGCATTCTGTTTTCTATGTGTTCATCTAACAGAAATTGCATTCTGTTCTGTAGCCAAAAATCATCTGACCTGATATCCTAAAAAAGGGGGAGGGGGGGAACTAGTGACACCGCCTAAGACTAAACATGCATTGATTATGATATCTAGTAAGCATTTATGAATACATGTACTTCAATTCCGTGACGTTTATGACCGAAAGGTCTGAACTTAGAATATTTCCTAAGGTTAACAGTTACCAAAAATACTTAGAATATTTTAATAATACAAATGACCGAAAGGTCTGAACTTAGAATATTTCCTAAGGTTAAAAGTTACCAAAAATAATTAGAATATTTTAATAATACAAATGACCGAAAGGTCTGAACTTGGAATATTTCTAAAGTAATAAGTGACCGAGATTCACTCTAAGAGTATTTGTCTTAGTAGGAAATAACCAGTGACCGAAAGGTCTTGACTTAGAATATTTGTATGTAGACCTATATTCTACAAACACATTGAACAAGGTAAAAGTTTATGTATAAAGGCACTTTTGAGACACACTTAACTCTTCCAGTTAGCTTAGTCAGAAGACTAAGATTTAAGATGTCAAAGTATTAAAATATTAAAGTATTGAAGTATTAGAAAGTCTTAAAGTATTGAAAATCCATCAATTTCCAACCAGTAAAGGTCTGAATAAATAATGCCAGGGTCCCAGACCCTGCAGTACGAACGAGGACATATATTCCTTCCACACATGTTGTTCAGTTCTATAATAAATAATTATATACAAGGATGCAATGAATGAGTTGTCTTTTCTGTCTAAGTCCTATCAGAGCCAAAACAGTGACACTTAGAATATTTCAGAAGTGTAAGTAGACTCTAAGTTAGTGACCAAAAGGTCGACACTTAGAATAATTTGGACATTTCAACATATTTCAATAAGCACACAAATAATTCCAGAATTCAGTCTGAAAATATCACATCATACACTTCATACATCAATATTATTATCTCCATTAGATATGAAAATACTGAGAACTATATCAGTACTTATATTACCAACGATCCAAATCTAAAATCTGAATTTGTATATCAAGTTCAATTTCCTCCTAAAATCCCACATTTAGATAATAAATTCATTAAATCAGTAAGAACTGCATTCCATATTAATATTCAATCTTCCCTTTAATTATTCCTATTTAATTTGAATAAAATTGGTACTTACAATGCTTCTTTGGGTGAAAGCTGAGAAGAGAATATGAATGAATTGAGAACGTCCGAATGGTCTTGCAAAATGGCGATCTGAGAACTTATGCCAAATTTGTGTCTCCCGCCCCGTATTTATACCCTTCAAATCCGGCAACGTGATTGGTCAAAAGTCACACATATATTTATGCGCCACTTTTAACCAGGCCGACCGGCCAGATAACCAAAGATCCTCTGAATAAAAATAGCACCCTCTACATGTACGTCACATTCAATGCAACTCAAAATCTCTCGCGGGAAGTTTAAAAGGTAAATTCCTGAACGCGCATACATGTGTACATTATCTCACAGGAATAATACAAAATAGTTACCAAGGAAATCTTATAATATGAGAAATACCAAAGGTGAGTACCTGCTTCCATAACATTATATACATGTATGTGTAATTCTTGAGCATTAAAGTTTAAAAAAGTGACATAAGGTGTCTCACTTTAAGAGAGGAATTCCAGTCCCACACATTGTACTTGGTGTGGTAAAAAAGATCTATCGAAAGTTTATTTATCTATCCAAATCCATATGAAAGATAAACATGTACATTTTATTTACCCACCAATTGTTTAATTAAAAGAAAAAGTAGAGGGGTGGGGTCCAAAAACGCCACAATATAAACTTGGATAGGATAGGGTCATTTATGCAATCAAAATTTCTTTTGTTTGTGTCGGGCAGTACTTTATTCTCTATGTTATTAAAGGACTATTCCTATATGTGCCATCAATTTCATACTGATTGATCAACAGGATGAAACTGTTAGAATCAGGCGCGCCGGAAGCAGTTTGGGATTGGGGGGGGCAAACATTCCAGGGGCAGTGACGTAATGAGAAAAAAAAATCGGAAGGGAGGGGGGGGGGGCAGACGAAAAATCTGCATCACCACCAGTCTTACACGTTACATGCAGGTCCCGCGGAACGTTTTTCAAAGTGGAGTATTATCGATCAGGTAGAGCGTAAATTGGCGTGGGGCATGAGCCTCGGCAGGGTGTCAAGGGGCTGAGCCCCCGGAAGCTCAGGGGTTTTAGGTATTTAATTAAGGTCAGATGAGCATCCAGGGGGCTGCCTTAGGGCCCTTGGTGGGGTCCAGGGGGCAGAGCCCATGGAAGCTCAGGGGTTTTAGGTATTTAATTACGGTGAGATGAGCATCCAAGGGGCCCGCCTTAGGGCCCTTGGTGGGGTCCAGGGGGCAGAGCCCCCGGAAGCTCAGGGGTTTTAGGTATTTAATTACGGTGAGATGAGCATCCAGGGGCCCTCTTTAGGGCCCTTGGTGGGGTCCAGGGGGCAGAGCCCCCGGAAGCTCAGGGGTTTTAGGTAATTAATTACGGTCAGATGAGCATCCAGGGGCCGTCTTAGGGCCCTTGATGTGGTCCAGGGGGCAGAGCCCCCGGATGCTCAGGGTTTTAGGTATTTAATTACGGTCAGATGAGCATCGGGGGGCCCGCTTTAGGGCCCTTGGTGGGGTCCAGGGGGCAGAGCCCCCAGAAGCTCAGGGGTTTTAGGTAATTAATTACGGTCAGATGAGCATCCAGGGGCCCGCCTTAGGGCCCTTGGTGGGGTCCAGGGGGCAGAGCCCCCGTAAGCTTTGGGGTATTTGTCATGATAATGAATATGTATCAGATTATGCAAATGTGACACCTGTGACCTCAGGCCAGGAGGTCAGATCGCACGTGCGCGATGTATATGCGATACGCGTGAATTGATACTGAGTGCGCGCGGGGAATAAACACCAGACTATGGTTATGGAATTCAACTACTTTGTTAGTTTGTTTGCACTTAATATGTGACATTGGCGACGAGGATTAATGTTTCTTGGATGTTGAATCTGTGGCTACGAGCTGGAAAAGTTTCAACATGGCATTCGCTGGAGCGGAATCGTTAGCGCTTCGAGGAGTTCCACACTTCGATCCGACGGGTGGTGCAAGTATTGTCAGCGGCAAGTGGAAAGCTTGGCTTGAAGAGTTCGAAGCCTACGCCGATAGTCGCGGCCTGTTTCTGGAGGGATGTACGCCGGCCCAGGAGGCTCAACGGAGAGCACTGTTGCTGTACACTGCGGGGCCCGTGGTAAGGGAGACTTTCAAAACACTTCCAAACAAAGGGGAGAGGAATGAGTATCAAAAAGCCACAGATGCCCTAAATGCTCATTATGTTGTGAAACCTAATGCTACGTTTCAAAGACATTTGTTCAGGAAAACTAAGCAGGAAGATGGTGAAACGGTTGCCCAATTTGTTACCAAATTACGACAGGTTGCTATTGCTTTATTGGATGCAATTTCGTAGCTGGGGATGTAGAAAACCAAATTCTTGACCAAGTAGTCCAGTACTGCAGAGCTGATAAACTTCGCAGGAGAATGCTGGAGAAAGGAGGTGAGCTCAAGTTAAATGATGCATTGTCCATGGCTGCTGCTTTAGAAGCTGTTGAAGGTCAATTTAACTCCATGTCATTGAGAGAGAGAGAGAAAGGCCTAGAGCTGGTGGGCAAGTTCAAGTGAATCAGGTTTCATATGAGAATGACAGAAAAAAGAATTTGGAATGCTACAGATGTGGGAACAAAGGACATTTTGGGAAGGATGCATCATGTCCAGCCAAAGGAAAGATCTGTCGGAAATGTGGAGGCCAAAACCACTTTGCGACGATGTGCAAAGGTAAGGCCAAGAGCACAAGTGAGGCGAGAGGAAAATTCAGAGATGGGAAGTCCAGAGATGGAAAGAAGTATAAGAATAGAGTTCGCCAAGTGGAAGGTGAACCCGGAAATGATAGTGATGATGATAACAGCCGTGGGCGTGATCAGAGGTACTATCAATTTGCCGTGAATGATGGTGATCATGAGAAGGTCCCAATAATCATTGGAGGTGTCACAGTCCCAGTGATAGTAGATTCGGGAAGTGATTGCAACGTAATAGATCAGATATTGTGGGAGAAACTGAAGAAGGACAAAATTATCTGCAAATCTACTAAGAGTACCAAGAGGCTTTATCCATACACATCACAGATACCATTGACGACTGTTGGATGTTTTACAGCCACAGTAGAAGTGGGAAAGATGAAGTCGACTGCTGAGTTTGTTGTTATCAAGGAAAAGGGAGAACCTTTACTTAGCAAGCGGACATCTAGAGAGCTGGGAGTGCTCCATGTGGGAGTTGTAAATGCAGTACAGAGCTATGCAGATTTAAAGCATGAGTTTGAAGCAGTCTTCAAAGGAGTAGGGAAGTTGAAGGGCCGACAAGTTAAGCTAGCTGTGGATGAAACGGTGAAGCCAGTGGCCCAGCCTGTGCGAAGGACTCCATTTGGACTGAGAAAGAAGGTAGAGATGAAGATCGCAGAGTTGATCGATCTTGACATTATCGAGCCAGTTGAACGCTCCACACCATGGGTAGGCCCAGTTGTCATAGTTCCAAAGAGAAATGATGAAATCAGACTGTGTATCGATATGCGGAGAGTGAACGAAGCAATCATAAGAGAACGTCACCCCATTCCCACTATTGAGGAAGTCCTACAGGAGTTGTTGATTAGCAAGGTCTTTTCGAAAATAGACCTGAAGTGGGGGTACCACCAATTGGAGTTACATCCGGAGTCTAGAGAGGTGACAACCTTTGTCACTCATTGTGGGTTGTTCCGCTATAAGAGACTGTTGTTCGGAATCAATGCTGCTCCAGAGATTTATCAATATGAGATACACAGGGTGATAGCTGGTATAGAAGGAGCTGCAAACATATCAGATGACATCATTGTGCATGCATCGACCCAGAAAGAGCATGACAAGAGGTTGAAGCAGCTTGGCAGACTGCGGGACGCAGGACTTACTGCAAATGCAGAAAAGTGTAAGTTTGGTGTCTCTGAGTTGGACTTCATGGGGCACAGACTGACTAGCGAGGGACTCAACCCAGGATTGGCCAAGGTGAAAGCAATTGCAGAGGCCCGTGAACCCCAGAATGCAACTGAGATGAGAAGTTTCTTGGGGCTAGTCAACTACTGCGCCAAGTTCATTCCGAACTTTGCTACATTGGCAGATCCACTGAGAAAGCTGACCAGAAAGGACACGCCATTTCAATTTGGTCATGAACAACAACAAGCGTTTAAGGCGCTGAAGGAAAGCTTAATGAGTGCAGAGACCCTGGGCTACTATGATCTAAATGCACCGACAAAGGTCATAGCGGATGCCAGTCCAGTTGGCTTAGGAGCAGTGCTGGTGCAGGTGCATGCTGATGGCCGAGGATAGTAGCGTATGCCAGCCGCTCGTTAAGTAACGTTGAAAGGAGATACTCTCAGACGGAGAAAGAAGCCCTTGGACTTGTGTGGGCTTGTGAGAGATTCCATGCGTACCTGTATGGAATAGAGTTTGATCTAGTGACTGATCACAAACCGCTTGAAGTCATTTATTCACCAAGATCTAAGCCATGTGCGAGAATAGAGCGGTGGGTTCTGAGGCTTCAACAGTACAAGTACAGGGTAGTCCACATCGCAGGAAAGTCCAACATAGCAGATCCATTGTCAAGATTGCTGAAGGATGATCAACCGAGAGAACCTTCTGTGTTGGAAACAGAAGCAGAGAGCTTTGTGCGTTTTGTGGCAGTCCAGTCAACGCCAGGTGCGGTGACAACGAAGGAAGTCGAAAGAGAATCTGAACATGATCCTGAACTTGAAGTTATCAGAGAGTGTATTCACAGTGGACAATGGGATGATTGTCCATACAAAGCATACATTCCCATCAAGGATGAACTCTGTATAATTGGTCAGTGTGTGCTGAGAGGTAGCAGATTGGTGATTCCACAGGCACAGAGGCCAAAGATGGTGTCATTAGCTCACTAAGGACACCTGGGCATTGTTGGCACCAAACAGAATTTGAGAACCAAGGTATGGTGGCCTGGATGTGAGAAAGATGCAGAGAAATTCGTCAAGACTTGTCATGGTTGCCAAATCACAAGCAGGGGTAATCCACCAGAACCAATTCGAAGTACTATGTTGCCGACAGGACCTTGGGTGGATGTAGCTGTTGATTTCCTAGGACCACTTCCGACAGGAGAATCTATACTTGTGGTAGTTGATTATTATAGCAGATACTACGAGTATGCAATCATGAAATCAACCACTGCAGAGAAGACGGTCAAAGCCCTGGCTGAAATCTTTGGCAGACATGGGTTACCTGTGACGTTATACTCAGACAATGGACCCCAGTTCATCTCAGAAGTTTTCGCAGAGTACATGAACATTACAGGAGTTCACCACCATCGGGTGACTCCTAAATGGCCCCAAGCCAACGGCGAGGTCGAAAGACAGAACCAGAGTATAGTGAAAAGGCTTAGAATTGCACAGGCAGAAGGCAAGGATTGGAAAGAGGCCTTGCTGACTTACGTTGCAGTCTACCGGGCCAGTACTCATTCGACAACGGGAAAAAGCCCGGCAGAAGTGTTGTTCGGGAGAAAGATCCGAACTAAACTACCACAAATCCAGGACATTAGTGAGGATCAGGAACTGAGAGACAGAGACCTCCAAATGAAAAGTGGTGCAAAACACTATGCAGATCTGAAGAGGGGAGCCGTACATTCTGACATAGTGCCAGGAGATAAGGTGATAGTAAGACGCGATGAAAGGAGGAAACTAGACACGCCATACTTTAACCAGCCATACACAGTGACAGCAAGAACAGGGAGTATGGTAACTGTGAAGTCTCCTGAAGGAGTCCTGTACAAACGGAATATATCCAGTGTAAAAAGATACATGTCCCGAGACACTCATAACGAAGCTGCCAATCCAGAGAGGACAGACGGAAATCCTGAGGCGGTGACCGGTGTTCCTGAAGGGTCGGACGGCAATCCTGAGGCGGAGACCAGTACTCCTGAGGCGGTGACCAGAGGTCCAGACTTAGAGGCAGCAAGCAACACATCAGGCGGTGACCAGACCCATCAAGATGGTGACACTCAGGCAGAGACAACAAACACCAACGTTCCTATGGCAGCTAGTAGACCACAACGCCAGAGAAGATTCCCTAAGCGATATGATGATTTTGTGTGATTCCAGATCAATATGGTGGGGATGAGCTCTTTGTAAAATAGCGACAGTGATATCTGAAACTACATGTGCCAAGGAGAAATGTTTGGAAATCATTGGTTGAAGCCAAGTTGTGATTTAAAGGGTGTACGCCTTGCGCTGCCCATATTTGTGAAATCGACATGTTGGAGAAATCACCATGGAAACCAAGCGTACAAGGAAGTTGTGTTATGTGCTAAAATAATAAGTTCTGATATATATGTTTCAATATTACACATACATTAATCAATGTAAATGGGTGTACGCCGAACGCTGCCCTTATTGTATGTGATAGGTGTTGCGAAAAACACAAGTTTGAGTTGGAGCATGGATCAGTTTTAAAAATGGATTCAATCATCGAAGAGAGTATTTCCAGAAACTTCAGTTTCAGCTAGTCGTATGAACGCTTGGAGATAACAGATGATTTACACAAACTCAAAACTAGAACTCAATTAGTATCCAGTGAACAGTTGAACTTTTATTTGGACCACAGACTGAATGCATGGAAGATATCATATTGCATGTTATGTTTTATGTTGTTCAACAAAGTTGTTTGGAAAATAAAACATTTTGGAAAAGTTTATCGACCAGATAAATTTGTTGTTTGTTAGAAATAGTTTTGTTGAAGTTGTTTAAAAAAAAAAGAAAAAAAAGAAGAAAAGAAACAAACAAAAGTAAATGCATCAAAGCATGTTTATTTCAGTAATTGACATATGGCTGAAACACAAGAACAAAAGAAATATTACAAGAATTTTCAGTGAAACTATAGTAGAAAATAGACCAGGATAAAGTTTCATTCTTGCAAAGGAGGGATGTCATGATAATGAATATGTATCAGATTATGCAAATGTGACACCTGTGACCTCAGGAGGTCAGATCGCATGTGCGCGATGTATATGCGATACGCGTGACTTGATACCCAGTGCGGGGAATAAACACCAGACTATGGTTATGGAATTCAACTACTTTGTTAGTATTAAGCATTTAATTACGGTCAGATGAGCATTTTTTATACCTTATTTGTGACATTGGCAGGTCACTTATTTTTTTCTCCGTCTTTCTTTCTTTTTCTCTTTAACATACTTTTTCAAAAAGGGGGGGGGGGGGGGGCTCGAGCCCAGCCACTTTGCAAACCATGACGAGGCTTCTAAATAAGCGTATTTCGCCTGACTGTAATTTGGGACTTTCTTATTTTCCAACGAACGCATAAAAAGTTATGACTTACAAAAAAAATGCCGGAAAATCATGTCACAACATCAACATTTGTATATCACTTGTTTCGAATAAGAAATACATCACCCCCTCCCCCATCAGTACGCCAGCGTTCAGGGGCTCATGTCTTCTCACCCCTATAACAAAAAAACGGACTCGCTTTCCCATTCTCGCACAATATGTCCACGATATGCGTGTATCGATCGCTATTATAGAGACCTCCATTGATAAATACCGTTAGGTGGCATGCGCAATGTTTATGAAATTTAATTCCTGTGAACTTTCCTTTTTCTTTGAATGGAATTGTACATGTATATGTGATTTAATTCAGGTTTTTATTATCGTTACATTCTTTTGGATTAAAAATACAAACCATGTTTACTCCTTTACTGTTTTTTTTTTTTTTTTTTGGAGGGGGGGGGGGGGGCGTTTTGGGGGGGGGGCAAAAATGCGTTTCGCCCCCCCCCCCACTTTTTTGACTGGGGGGCAACTGCCCCCCCCCCCCCCACCTCCGGCGCCTATGGTTAGAATATACGAGACAAACCGTTGCTATCTCTCTCTCTCTCACGCTCTTATACTCATTACAAGGATCTCTCTCACGCCTTTTTTCTCTTTCTTACACAATTCTTATACACAAATAGACTTCAAATTATTTTTATTATTTCAAAATCAAGTAAGATGACGCAATCTGACACACACTCTTTTACAACCATTGTAAAATGATCCAATAGTACTTTACATGTATCTACCAGGGAATATACAAAAATAGGACCTTAGTTTTTTCTATTTGAACGAACAAAAAGAAAATCCAGGGTGCTCTGATCTGATAGACTGAGAGTGAGACAGATAAACGAATCAAAAAATATCTCGGCAAAATCCACTTGACTCCACTTGACAAGAAAGTTTTTTTTTTTCTCCATGTAATAGATGAATAAATAAATACAAAATGGAAAAAAAAAATGAATTAAATAATAAAAAGGGGAAAAAAAACAATCACAATTTTGCCATAACATGCAGCTCTGACAAGTTGTAGTCCGAACCCATTACACAAATCTACATGTAGTGTAGAGCCTTGCAACATGTAAGACAAATTATTCAAACAATCATTTGTCTTTGGAAGTTATACTTTATTAGGAAAAAACAATACAATTGACTAAGAGCACACTTTCACCAGTATAAAAACAATGGTACAAAAAATTGGATATAAAATGATGACAAAGCTAGGAATGTTAAATAGAAATATAGCTGAAACCTGAGGGTATAATCACATGTTTTACATGCACCAAAGCTTTATGTAATATCTTTAACTCGTTGTTAACACAAACCAAAATACTTTAGTTCATTTAAACCATTTTTAATAGTAGATCTTGTTCAATACTGAATGGAAAATTCACCCTGTAACTTCTTCATAAACCATCTGCACTTCTAACATAGCAAATGTTGCATAGTATTTGTAATTTCTATCTGCATAAAATACATGATTAAGAACAGATTGATCTTGAAATTTTAATGAGAATATATAGTGTAAATTTCTAAAATCTTTACATGTAGCCTTTTAATAATTATGTCCAGTGATAAGCAATGATAATAGTAGAGAATTTCATTTTTTCCTAATCATACTGGTTCATTATTCAATACCATGCCATTTATGTGATTCAATTCACATACCGGTAATTTGAATGACTTTCAAATCAAAACATTTACCGGTAAGTAAAATGCAGTAATACATGAAAATTCGACTGTATATATTGTCAGCTATACAATACATCACTAGGAAAAATTCACCAAATTCACAATTTTTAAAGTCCAATTTTGACACGAAATGTCCCTAATCTAGAACTCATAAAAATATAGAAAATACCAAATATACACATCAAACAACAAATATAAGATTACTGCCAAAGTCCTATATCAGCCTACACATGCAAACTGCTAGAAGAAATAGGTGTTCATTAAATAACGATGCCCAATCTATATATTTACTGTTTCTTAAATGATTCTAATAAAATTTCTATCGTCAACTACATTGTACATGTACTACTCAAACATTGTGTATACTAACTCCTATGCGCATACCAAACTTGTACCTGGAATGCAACATCCAGACTTGCCTTAAATAAGATCTAAACATATTCATTTTTGGTTTAATAATTGTACTCGCATTAAAAAAATTACATGGCAGGTTTGATTCTTGCATTATGTTTTTTTTCATTGCACTGGACTTAGCATATTTTACTGTTTATTGATAAGTGCTTGTCTACACCCCATTTCTGCACTTCATGGCGTTTCCTGAGTAAGCTGCCAAAGGGATTACTCCATCAAGTATCAGATAATACTGATTTGCAAACTATTGCAAAATATGTGACAATTGATCTTTGAGAGCAATCTCTTGATCAAATATTTTTTGAGAAATATCCCAAATATGATAGTAATTAGAAAATAGAAATAAAAAAGTGTTTATGTAATATCTCTGATGAACAAAATACATGATTATTGCTTCGCAGTCAATAAATATTTCTTCCATTCAAAGTATTCTTTGACAAGGTGACTCAATGTTAATCACACACTATGCATGAATACACACAACAAATATCCAACTTTGCAAAACCTACATGTAGCTTGTCTTGGCTAATTTGTAAACCGTAGGTGTGAATTTTGCAAAGATGTTTCTCGTTTATAGTTGACAGATACAGAGATTACATCGATCTAACTTGGAAGAAAATATGCCCGGCCTCATCCACTGCAATTAATTCAACTTAACAATCACCAAAACTTTATTCCCTTTAAAACTTAAAGTCCCTTAACTTTGGTATATGATTAGATGGTGGGTGGGTTGGTAGTTGAAAAGAATAATCATCCATCAACATTGACTCGTGTGATAATTAAACCGTCTCTAATGCTATGGTCACATTACCCAAAAGTAGTCTGCTCGGCGGCCGAGCGGCGAGTTTTTAACCAATTCTGCCCGGCGGCTGCCCAGGCACCGCTCGTTTTTAGGGCATATATCGCTCGGTCGCCGCTGAAGTTTTAGCGCGGAGTTAAAATTTGGGCGGCGCTTGCTCACTTTTCACTCGCCGCCCAAAATACGCTCGGTGCCTGGGCGGTCGCCGCCCGGCACCGACCTAATTGCTGGGCGATGCCTAAATTGTAGCAGCGACCGAGCAGGCTACTGATCGGTCGGTCGCTGCTCAGATTTGTGACCATAGCTTAACAAACTGAAAGATCAATAATTTCATAAACCCTCACTGATATATGTACTGGTGTAGTCTGAACTCATTTTGTCTAACTTGGCACTTAAAACAAAAGATCACGATACATTTTCGAACCTTTGAACCGTTTGGCATCGCCCTCAGGTTTGGTATCACTCTGTAAATGATTAGACTGCAAAAATTAATATCTCGGCTGCTTTATCTTAATTATCTAGTGGAACTCTAATCAGCTGCACAATGCAGACTGATAAAGTATCGGGTAATAAACCTGTGGCTAATCGAGTCCACTGCATCATAGTTTCATCATAGCTATATATATAGCTTCTTCTTCCTTTCATTGTTTGGTTTTCTGTTATATATTGGATGTGGGGAGGAACTCCTGAGATTCATGTTAATTCTCTCAATCCTCACTCTTGAGGTTCATATAGGAAAGATGTGTGAGTATAGAGCATGTGTTTGTAGATTTAAGTAAAACGGATTCTGCAATTTGTCAGTGAGTTAAACCTTTCTCTTACTCCATATAGGCCTGTCATCATCAGCTCGAGTTTGTCAAATAACCCGCTA